GGTCAGCCCAGGAAGCTCCCTCCACAGCCCTGGGCCTGCATAGATGCCTGACTCCCACTAGGGCCAGCACGAACCCTGACAGCTGACCTCTGGGAGGGGCCTCTGTGCACAGGCCAGGGCACCTGGGGCAAGTCTCCAGCTTGTCATCAGCGGCAGCTTCGGCCCAGGGGCAGTGACGGCCCAAAGACTGCCCTCGGACTGGGGCTACTGCGAAGGTGGGACAGATCAAAAAGTCACACGAGCAAATGATGAGCCAGAGCAGGTGACAGAGAGGCAGGATGTGAGCGGGGCTACTGGCCAGTGGGGGTGGCTCTCCCATCAGGCCAGACGGAGGATCCAGAGGAAGTGGTCATCGGGGTGTCTGAGCCCCAATCCTGGCTCAGCTGCTAGAGCAGTGGCCCGGAGAAAGCAAATGTCTAGAATCACCTGCCAAGCGTTTTACGTGTACAATGGCTACACGTTTCCAAGCGCCCGCCTGAAGAACCCCTCTTCTGAGAAGTGCAGTGGGTGGCTCCCGCCCCCCGAGGCCGTGGCCGTCTCTGTGGACAGTGGTGACAGAAGTCTGCCTGGGGACCCAGAGGTAACTCCGGTTCTGCACAGAGGTGGGATTGGCTCCCAGCCATGTCTACGTGCCACCCCTCCCAGCTTCAGCCCTGCTGCTTCTCAGGGGGCCTCGGGGCCTTCTCCTGGCAGCATGGTGGAGGCTTCCAGAGCGATGCTGGGATGAGAGAGGGTGGAGTCCTCCGGGCCTCTATCTGGGAAGCCCTCTCTGCCCACACTAGAAACGAACCGCCCTCAGACAGCCATGGAGTGCAGAGTTGAAATGGATTCGACTCCCCGCTCTCTCCCTTGTGGGCAGGCTTGCTGACTGCTCACCCCGCACTGAGTCAGAGGCAGGAAAACTTTTGAGTTTTTTTTTTTTTTTTTTTTTTTTGGAGAGAACAAAACTTTTTTTTTTTTTTTTTTTTAGGAGAGAGACACACACAGAGAGAAAAAAAGGGAATGGAAAAAGAGTGGGAGACAGGGTTCAAAGCAACAACCCCAAACCCTAAAATGAGTGCAAGACTAGGGCTGGGACAGTCACTCTGCGTCACGCCCTCCCCAGGAAGAAAGGGGGGGGCTGCAGCTCCAGCCAGCAAGACCCTAGACTTTCACTTCCCTCTTTCCTCCCCTTTCCAGGCAACCCAATCATTCTGCTCACCAAAAAAACGAAAACCCCAGAACACCCCAAAGCCTAGCACACAGCTCCACAGGAGGAGGCTGGGTGGAAGGGGCTTTCTGGCAGCTCTGGAGCCCAGGCCCTGAGGAGGAGTGGGGGTGGGGAGCTGCCCAGTCTCTTACTTGAGCTGTGGGTGAGGTTGGGGCTTCGGTGGTGGAGCAGCCGGGGCCTCTGCAGGGGAGCTGCCGCTGGAGGGTGCCTCTCCGTGGGCGGTGGGGCCTCCCGGCCGCTGAGGAGCCGAGGAGGAAGAGGAGGAGGAGGAAGTGGAGGAGGAAGAAGAGGAAGGTGGCAGTGATGGTCCCGGGGGGAGCCGGCGTGGAGGCAGCACCTTGCCTGGGGGCTGCATTCCTTGGGGTTGCCCGGGGCCCCCTAGGTTTGGTACAAGAAAAACTTCATAATTTAACCATACCAAAGGTTTCCTCCTTAGAATCTGTTTCAGGGGTGTGGTGCGTTAATAACCAAAAGCGTAAGCTCTGTCACCAGAGGCCATCTGAGGCGCAGCAGGACCCCAGGGGGTCCCCAGTGACCGCATACATGGCCACGTGGTTCCTCCTCAGGCCATAGGACTTGGTCACAGCAGAAGTGGGCACAGGGAAACAGCCCAGGGAGGAGCAGACCTAGTCACAAGCGGGGTCCCCAGGCCAGACAGACACTCCTTATTCCACAGAGGTCCCTCAGGGACAGACCACCCTGTTCCAAAATTTCCTAGGGATCCCCAAGTTCCACCTGGCAGGTGCAGCAGTGGAAAGTGGAATGGGCCTTTAGATGGAGAAACCGAAAACCCAGGAAATGGTCTCCCGGGGACGCCCTGAGCAGGTCACAGCCTCCCTGGCCTCAGTTTTTCCAACCACAAAACTATCAAAGAGGTTAGTTTAGTCTTAGTTATCTTTTAAGACAGAGGTGTTTCAAAGACAGCAGCGGCTGAGGGAGCTCTTTACAAAATACTCCGTCCTGCTGGTCTCTGTGGGTGAGTGCTGTCTTATTGGTTTTGTGTTTTAATTTGCCAGAGGACACAGGTGCTCTCCAGCGAGAGAGACAGAGACAGAGAGGGAGAAAGCCCCTCCCAGTGGGGTGCAGACACCTGCACTCTCTTCTGCTTCATCGCTCCATCCTGGGGGGATCTGGGGCACGCACACACAAGCACCCGATGTGTTTTTCAAGCTGCTGGGGCCAGGATTCAAACCATGGGGTGATCATGTGGGATCCAGCCACCTTAACCACCAAGCCACAGAGCCATCCCCCTGCACTGTCTTCGTGGAGCTGCCCCTTCAGTCCTGTGATGCCTCCGTGCATCCGACCACCATGCCAGGGCTGCACCCTAGTATAAGCTCATGCCTGCCACCAGGATAAACCTTCCTCCTAGGTACTTTTTTTGCCTCTGAGTAACCTTCCTCAGGTACGTGCGGTGAAATCCTCCAGAGAAATTCTCCAAACCCCCCTCTCCCCTGGGGATATTGAGGGCACCACCTGGCAAAGGGGACCACCCTCTAAAAAGGACCAGCAGGGACCAGCAGTTGGCAGAATGGCTATGTCACTGAACTCCCACGTAGTCGACTGCAAGTCCCAGACCCGGTGGCTTAAATTCATGCCGGGCGCGTGTGCGTGCGTGCCCAAGATCCCGAGAGGAGAATGGAGGAGAAGGGATTGCGGCGTGGCCATCCCCCCTGGGGGGTGATTTCTTGCTTTCTGTCTCTCTGTCTCTCTCTGTCTGTCTGGTGAGCCAATGCACCCTACAGCGAAAACCTCTCAAAAAAAAAAAAAAGTCATGACCAGCCCAATACCAGGCATGGAGTCGGTGTGCACCACCAGGTGCCCTCCCCCCGCCATGAGACACAAAACCACCTGGTAGCCTAGAAAGAAACAGGCCTTCCTTCTTCCGGGAGTCGACAGGCAGAGCGTGCGTTACCAGACAGCTCAGATTTCCCGGGGGAGGGGGTCCCTACCGACTTCTCCCAGAAGTCAGAAGGCGTCCCCATCACACGGACTATGGAGATCCAATTTCTCGGCCGCATCCCAGAGCCCACACCCTCAGGCCTGCTGGAAGGAGCCGAGAACAGAAACCCGACAGCAGCTAAGTGTCCCGGGTCACCGCTCTGTCTTCTAGAAACACAGAACGCCCGTGCCCGCTGGAGACGCAGGCCCCGTCTGCCTGCCCCGTGCGCCTCTGCGAGGTCAGCTCATCTCCCCACCACAGGGCCCGGCTTCCGTTCTCATCCCTAACCCGTTCGTAGCAGGGTGCGTCACCCATAAATAAACACAGATGCTGGTAAATAGGGTCCTGCGTGTTGCCACGGTCCCGGGGTCGCATCAGACAACTAGCAAGGGGGACAGAGGAGGAGGTGACTGCGGGGCCGTCCGCTCCTGCCTTTTCCGGAGTTGGGCCCCGGTGGGAACGGGTCCGCGTCACCTCGCACTGTCACGCGGGTGGATCGCTCCTGCCGTCACACCAGAGGCCTGAGCGCTTTCCCGCGTGTACAGAGACACTTGAGAGCCAGAAACTTTACGACTTAACACTGAAGACAGATAGAACTTTTCCTTTATTACACAGTAAGCTGTACAAGAGAGTCACAAAAGAGAGGTACTTGGGTCACACTTCCAGCAGTGGTTAAGGGTCTCCCAGCTGGATCAGTACAAAAAAAAAGGGGGGGGGGAGGGACAGCATCAGAAAAGAAACGGGTACAGAACACCTGAACAGCAATCCTACACTGTGACACGGAAGTCCCCCAGGCCACAGAGGTGTCCCTTAGCATGCTGCCTGAGGGCACAGTCAGGCCAGGCCGCCTGCTTGCGTGCGGCAGTGGGAACCCTGACGGGTGTCTTCCCTGACCTCCGACGCCTTGGCTGACGCCACCCTGCGGCCTGACTGATTCAAATGGCAACTTGGGATTTGTGGCTCACGAATGTCACATGAAAAGCACCTGGATGTACACACTGAGAACATGCAGAGAAGCAACACCACCATCAGCTCACCACTTGGACAAAAAAAATAATAAATTCATTAAAAATGGAAAAAAAAAAATAAGTACCCCTCCATCCTGGACTGGGAGGTATTGAAAGACCTGATTCTTGCGTGACCCCCCGAAAGTGCAGACGTACGCGTATTCTCTATACACCGTATTTACAAGGGATCGACTACCATCTCCAACTCCGGGAGAGCTCAGACAAGAACATTCACACTCAGTGCATTTCTCTGCGGCCTCAGAATCTGCCCGGAGCCAAGACGGAAGCCGGGGAGCACCCCCCTTGACGCAGAACTCCTGTTCCCTACGACCAGCCCTTTCTGTCCTCAGACCCGGAAGCCCAGGACGGTGACACGCCAGTACAGAGTGGGAGGGAATGTGCAGGTCGAACCAGAAGCATTCTTCTGCAAGGCAAGCTCCTGGCACGAACTCCCACCGACCGTGGCGCTGGAGGGGCCACACGGGATCCCTTCAGTCTGGTCAGGAGGTGGCAAGATGAGGCACTGCCCTGCGGCCTGGTTTCACTGACCGCCTCCTCCACCTCCCAGGGGCTGCCCGGCTGCGGAGCCTCTGCCCAGCTCGCGCACAAGTCAGCTCTGGGACAGTTCTTGGGGAGGATCCATCTCCCTCCGGGGACCCCGGGGGGCTCTGAAACAGCTGAGCCCTGCAGCAGGAGTCCGCCCCGGAGTTCTGTAGGCAGTGGACGCCCTGGAGTGACAGGGGACATTTCTGATTTGCTCTTGCACTCTGCTGCCTTGGGAGAGGCCGGAGAACAGATGACCAAGTCCCTCCAGACTTTCGGTCACTCCCTGCGTTCTCTGTCCGCCATGGCTAAAGAATCCCTTCTGTGCACGGGTCAAGCTTTGGGGAAACCGAACCACCTCGGTGGCGCCGACAGCAACGGAGGAAGGGGGGAGATCCACGCACGGAAAATACTCACACGGTCACCTGGGGATGGCACGGCAGCGGCCCGCGGGTCGGTGGGTTTAACCCCGTAGCTAATGAGTTAATCAACACGGAGGGCCCACCGGGAGGGGAGGCACGAACACATTCCTGGAAATAGCTTGTTCTTTGTCATCACGACACACACAAGAGCTCGACAAGGCACGGCCAGCCCGTTCACAGACACTCAAACGGCACCAAGGTGAAGCAGATGGGGAAAGAGGTGGCAGCCTTCAGATCCAACGGGTGAAGCTATGGAGGCGAGACCTTGAGAGACATCTCTTAAAGTTCTACCTAGTTCCCCTAGTCATGCAGCGAGGAAGCGGGCAGCACGGCGGATGGAAGAGCTGGGGCACACTCCTGGAGGGGGTGGGGTGGGGCGGGTGTTAATCTGAGCCTGGGGTTGCAGGGGCGGGGAGAAGAGAGGTCCGCTCCCATCGTGGTGGGTTTTGTTTCTCCCCTGCCCACCCCCGTCCCCACTCCTACATTGTACGATCCTTTTCAAAATACCATCCAACCACCCGGGAGCGAGATGCACACTGTGCTTGGGAGAGGCACAGTTCTTTTGCACACTGCGGACAGACAGCCCTGGAGTCCCGGGTTACACAGAGAAGACGGAGGGAGGGTTACAAGCACGGACAGGGACAGGTGACAACCAGACGGAGGAGCCGATGCTCCGTGGGAAAAACACAGTCCAGTCAGCATGGAAAGGACGCGGCAGGGGCACCACGGAGGTCTGCCGTCCCCTCCCCGCCCTCCTTTTCTTTTCTCTTTTTTTTTGTTTTTGTTTTTGTTTTCTTGGTATTTGGCTTAAAATTTCGGCTTTGAAAAGGGAACTACCGATCATCTTAAGAAGCGTGGACCTGTTTGGGCCCTACGGCAATGCCGTTACAGTCGAGAATATACTGTAAACAACCTTGGGGGGCCGGCCGCTGCGGTGGGGTCTTGCTCGGGTCCGGGTCCTTAAGTGCTCCACTCTGGAAGACAAAAAGGCGAGAGAGAAAAAAAAACGAGACTCCAAGTGAATTCAACGAGAAGCGCTGTGGTCCCATGGCAAGTCTGCCGTGGGATCTGGTGGGGCCCGGTGGGGTCTGGCCATGGGCTTCTGCCGGTCCAGAATCCCCTCGAAGGTGTCCTCAGTCTCTGGGGTGTTGCTGGGCACAGTGTCAGCAGTTTGGGGGTGGACCGCTCTGACATACCACGCCGGAGACACCCTCGACCCCGTTCTCATGTCATTCCCTTCTAGACTTGTTCTTTCTAGAAGCGTCGAGTCTCCTTACCACCACCTGCGTTCTTCCCTGCTGCCACCGGATGTCCAGACCCACTCGCATTTACGGGCCTGGCTTATAAAGGAAAAGGGGGGGTTGGCACTGAGCTCCAGAGATGGGGTCGGGCTCCAGGTGCCGCAGGGTCAGGAGAGCGGGGTGTGTGTGTGTGTCTGTGTGTGTGTGTGTGTGTGTGTGTGTGTGTGGCCAGGCAACTCTTCCCTCTGCTGCTAGCTATGTATTATGAGTAAAACTTACACTTTATAGTGTTCTAGTAAAATCAGAACTTACCACTTGATATAGTCATACCTCCCTAGCACCAAGATGTTTGGAATCTTGAATTTAGACTTGTAGTTATCTATCTATCTATCTATCTATCTATCTATCATCTATCTATCTATCTATCTATCTATTA